TGAACGAAAGTTGCTCACCGCACCAGTCAAGGACGGTACCAAAGGCATTCATGATGCTATTATCGAGCAACATTTTATCCGGACCTAGGTTGGGTAAAACAAGTGCCTCAACTGGTAGCGTAATGTCGCCCAGCGTGAGGTTAAAACGGATACAACCTAGGATTTCTAACGCTGATCCATCTGCACTTTTCAACTGAATTGCCCCAGGGGGCACCAGTTTCAGAGGTACACGTTGCAGACTCGGATGCGATTTAATGAAAGACGCTGATATATACGGTACATCCGCTGCTGTGTCGATAGTAAGGTCAGACACAGGGTAGTTATTCACTCGGGCAGGAATGCGCACCCTCATAGAGGACGAGCTTAATGCGCTGGGGTGTTGTGGATAATTTACAAAGTGCTGACGCATGAAACGCCGCATAATTGGGTCCACCACAAGATGCACGTAAAACAGAGGCACACATTTTCGTATTTCGATTAGATGACTTGCTAGTCAGTACAAATTCAGCTTGCGGGGCTAGCCGAGGACCGACGCACGCTTGCGTTTGTTCTTCCTAAATTTAAATTTAAATTAAAAAAAAAATTCCCTTCTTTGCTACATGGCTGACTATGCAAAAATGCCTGGGCAGAATTTGCTACTAGAGTCTCAGAATAACTGCTAGTTCTCGGACAGACGTCAATCCACCTCCTTAAACCCGAGGATAAAATCTTTCCCTCGATTTTCTACTGTCATGGGCACACGGGGCTGATTCTACTCGGGCATCCTGTGCTACGTGAGTGTCAGCTAATGTTGTGCTATTGGNTTTAACCCGAGGAAACAATGGTTCCCTCGATTTTCTACTGTCATGGGCACACGGGGCTGATTCTACTCGGGCATCCTGTGCTACGTGAGTGCCCTCAGCTAATGTTGTGCTATTGACCTGCCGCCCTGCGGGCGAGGGATCCCATGAAGGGCCCCCTCAATCCTTTTTAAGGTAGCTCCGAACAATGTTCTGTGCTTCATTGCGCTTTTTGAGAGCGCATTTGTCTTCAGGGTGGCGGTACTTGCAGCCCGGATAGGGGCATCGTTCCCCCTTCTGCTGTGCAGCAGAGGCGGAACCGCCTTGTCCGGTGGTGCGTGCCTTCTTGGAAGCTTGGCGTGTCGTACTGTTGCCAGGTTGTCGCGCCGCCTCCAGCCTAGTAATCTTAGCCTGCAGGTTTTTCGTTACTGCCGTGTTCGACGACACAGTGTTCTGTAGCTGTGGAGGTTCATCGTACATGACAGCAGATACGGTATCGGGGGTGGGTAACGAGACGCCTCTGAGATTGTTGGCCTCATATTTATTTGCGCGAAGGCGTGCTTCCTGAAATGAGTGAGTGGGGTTTTCTCTAACACACGTCACCCTTATGTGAGGCAAAGGCCGTTCTCAAACGTTGCGGTCATGATAGCGTCCCATGCATGTCCGTGAGGGCTGAAGTGAGAGGGACCTGAACGAGAAGCCTCCGCGAGGAGGCCTGAGTTACTTTGAGCGCAAAGCCGTCTACTGTCTGGTTTTGTCCCTGCTGCATAGTGGCTATTTCTCTGGCTAGGACCGCCAAACGGTTGGCCGCGGAGAATTGGAAGGTGAAGGCCTGACAGTATTTGTCCCAAGTCGCGGGTGCTCTTGGCCTGACTACCTGTCCTGTGTTCCGAAGTGCGGTTAAACAACTCGCCGACCGCCATTCGAGAGTCCCACTGACCAGTTCGACTAGGGTGTCGTAGGCTTGATCTCGAAGTACAAAGGGCAGAAATTGGATCGCTCTTTGGTCCACTACAGACTCGGGTGGGTCATCGGCCGCAACACAGGCTAGCTTCACACGTGCTCTGTATCGAGTTAGAATTTCAACCACATCTGGCTGCCCTGGCTTCCCTGAAAAAGCGATCTCTTTCGGAAGGTCGTTCTGTCGGAAAGTAAATTTTTGAGTGTGGCCAGATGTATGCGTTGAAACGGGGGTGCCTACAGGCATAGAAAAGTTTGCAAGCTGGGGCGTGGACGGTGCTACAGGGTTGCTAGGCCTGTGTGTACTATCCTCGCTATGCGGAGTAGATGCCAACTCGGGGGCTAGGCTGCGGGGTTGCACAGGTGAGTTCTGAGTTGCAGCGGGCAAGACTGGTTGGCGAAAAATGAGACCTGTGGAGGTGCTACCTCCCCTGTTCTGATTTCGCTCAACGGGTTCACCTGAGCAACCTCTTCTGCAGAGGCCGGAGTTGCAGTGGAGGTCTGGGAGGTAGGTCGGAAAAGGGACACCAGCTGCGCGGGTGGGGTGGAGCCCTCCTGCCAATGCTGGGCGAGTAGATCGGAGAACCGGCCTCCTGCACTCGCCATCAACGCCTGACGGTCGTCGGGCGATACATCCTGCGCCCGAAATCCCTCGAGCAACTGGCGCATGATATATAGGTCATGCTCATCGTCCAGCAGTTGGCCATCAGCTTCGTCGCCGCTGCTGCCATTGTCACCTTTCTCTTCGCCATCGTCCTCGTCGTCCTCGAGAATAGGCTCTTGCTGAGAGCTAGTTCCCCGAGGCCTTGGGGCAGACACCCGTTCCGGGGGGGTGCCCCTGCCCGGTGGTGTAGAAGAACCCGACTGCTGTGACGTAGGGGTGGCGGTTGCGGCGAGCTGTTGCCGCAGCCTCGCAAGCTCCTCCTCCTTACGCGCAATCGCACCGGTTTGCTCCTCTGCGCGCTTTTCCGCTTGTTCAGCTCGCTCACGTAGTTTCTGCTTCTGCGAGCTCTTGGTGTTGGGCATGGCGATTTCCTGTTTTTGTCCTTTTCGTCTCGCTACAAATCACGGCGGAGCCGTGTTCTCGTCGACGCCAATGAGGACACTAGTCCCTGTCAGAGACAGAGGCCGGTTCCTACGGTGATGTACTCCGCGGTAACTGGAAAGCACAGGACAAGCGACTTTTGCGCGGTGAACCTTTGTGCGGTAATGGGAAAACTCAATATGTTCGCTAACGGTTTGGGCGTTAACGGTGACTCTCATTTTTCACGGGATCACAGGAAACGGTGATTACTAGGGTTGGGTACTGAACCAGTACGTACTGCCAGTGCATATGCACTGGCAGTGCATATGCACTGGCTGCGTCAGCAGCCAGTACTCCAGTACATTCTTATATTCGCAGATTTCCTCTGTATTACGCCTCAAGAACCAGCGGAAACCCACATACTCAGACCTCCTCTGAGAGACGATTCTAAATAGTATATTAGAATTGCATATTACTCGAAACAAAATAATTTACGAAGTAATATCGAGCGTAGTAATAAATTAAAATACCTCGTATTAATAATTTAAATCTGTAGGTTTAAAAAGAACAAAACTACTACTTCGTACATTAATAATTAATAATTACCGGGCTAAATAATATAGTCGAGGAATGGGAGCAATCGAACACCCCCGCGGCCGCGAAGAGGGGCTAGGGTAGTGACTGTCTTTGATGGGGAGGATTTTGTGTGCTAGCGGCAGTAATTTGTGCGCAGTGTAGGTTTCGGTTGGGTAGCTTTGGTGCTGTTCGTATCTGTAGCATTCTGCATTCTAGCAAGCTGGTGCTTCTTTTGTTGCGCACCTCCTGTCGTTTCCCGTTTCCTGGTTAGCTTTTTACTTTTTAGCTCTTAGCTGGTTTCTTGGTATACGTTCAGGGCTGCCGTGTCGTTGTGTCCTTCGTAGAGTCCAGTATACGATAGCGTCGCTCATCAACCCAACTGATGGATGCCACTTGGTTGCTTGGGAGTAATATTATAATGTTTCAATATTTCCTCATGTCCAAAACCAACAAATTCAGTCGTTGAACTCGAACTTTCTATCGTTTTCCCCGCGATAGTGCCTCTGTCAGATGGGCCAAAATCACTCATTTTTTTTGCTCTAGTGAAGCCAAATCGCGTACAAAAGCGCCTCCGGCGGGGCGCCTCCAGCGGGGCCCTCCGGGGGCGCCTCCGGCGGGGCCCCCTCACCAGCCGGGGGGGGCCGATGGTCGCGGCTGCGCCGCGACCGCGCGGCTTCGCCGCGCCACCAGTGTACTGATCGGATCCAGTTTACTGGCTGCTGACGCAGCCAGTATACTTTTTACTGGCGCGCAGCGCCAGTACCCAACCCTAGTAATTACCGTGGTTTTACCGCATCAGTAGAAATACCGCGCGGAGATATTAAAGAAGAAAGCCCTGAAAATATTTAGGTTTGCATCAATGTGCACAATCAGGGTTTGGATCTACAGACCAGACCCGAGCATCTTGCGGGCGAGAATGTGCAGGCTAGGATATCGAGTAACAACCAGGCTGCAGCAGCAGGCGAAAAGGGATATGCTCGCACAGGCCTACATTGTTGGCAAGCTCGATAATGTTTACTTCTACTACCAACAAGAACTGCGCTGGTCAACGCGTGCTACCGTTTTGTACGGCCAATCTATTTGTAAGGGCGACTGGAGATCGATTGAAACAAAGCAGACGTCCATGAGACACTCGTACTGTCGCAGGGAGGCAGGGAAGGAAGGGCGCATAGGTGGACTTGCGTGCCTGCTGTATAATTGGTTTCGGTTTCATGTTTGCTTTGATTTTTTCGCACATCTTCATTTTCCATCGATCGATGCGCGCTTTGTCGGATTCGTCGTTTTTTCTAGCGTCGATGGTTCGAGAGAGATGTGCAAGACACTCCTGTCCTGTTTCTACATGTAGGCCCGAGGGAGGCAACCGTAGCCATCCAACACTTTTGGTGTTCTCCATGACCTTCTGCGTCAGTTCGACAGACCCATTTCCCTGCCACACCCCCCTTTGAAGTTTGAAATTTGGTTTCTCGAGTTTATTCTCTATGATGAACCTTCTTCAAAAAATGGATAGAGAGAAATCCGGGTTCAAGAAAGTGAATCTATCTTGGCAAGACCCTCTCTCAAACCGTGTAGCCGCCGTCGCTTTAATATAAATAACTGAAGTAAAAGTACCGTCGTTCTGGGTCAAACATCTTATCCGCGAAAACATGGCGCTTCCTGCACCGCGCAGGTTCCTCGAGGTATGCCTCATGTTGCCCCATCGGCGATTGAGAGCGATCTGGTCGTGAGGATGCTGGCTCTTAATCCTGGCATGGTGAGGGCGAGGGAGAGCCGAGTGTATGAGCCAAACAATCAGGTCTAGTAAACCGTTGGTGGAGCAATGAATGCATGGTGCGCGGAATTTCATGAGCTTCACATCGTGTTGCTGGTGGATTGCGCATGGTGTTTAGGCAAGTCTGACATTCGTGATGGTGTAATGTCTCCATCTTCCCTCGTGTGCCGATTGCTATGATCAGGGTACATTTTTGCCCACCTCAGAAGCGCAGCTGGCTAATGCGCCGGAGAGTGTGCCTCGTCCGGCTCACGCTTGTACCATTTTTCGTTGTTTTTCTGTCTCGCAGCACACCTTGCAAGGAACGAACTGTTATCTAGTCGGCAACGGCGCAAGGCGAATCCTGATCGATACAGGCGAGGGGAAAGCTGGGTTTGTCCCCCATCTCCTGGTGAGGCGGACGATATGCCCAGAGAACGTTACCTCGCATATTTATGGTAGGACATTCCATTCTTGTGCCCCCGTATTCATGTTACGAAGTCGAGCTAGATTGTGGTCCTGCGGGATACTAGTCTACACCCTGTGCGGTTCCCGCTTACAATGTTGGGCCGATCCTGGGCTGGTGACGGTGACTTCATGTAATGTGCACTTTTTCTCGATCAACTCGACATCATACAATGGAACCTTCCCGTGCTTTGCTGGCCTACCCAAAAACCAGGATGTGATGCGACAAGCAGGATGCGAGATGCTGGACGCTATTTTGTTGACGCATTGGCACGCTGATCACGTGGGAGGCGTAAACGACATCCGCAAGGCGCTTGGTGGGAACATTCCCGTCTTCAAGAAGGTAGACATTCCACGTTGACCGGCATCACCTTGGCGCGCCCGAGACTGAAAGTTTATCTTTGCCAAGTGACGTGTAAAACTCTGGTAGACCACGAGTTACTGCTGTTGCCGCACACATGTTCCCTACCGCCATGTTTGGAGCTTATCCTACCACCACGTTTGATCACACACGTCCAGCAGTTTGCTGGCATCCCAGGACACGAGCAGGTAATAGGCCTGGCACATGTTCAACGCCAACACAACAGTAAGTAGCTCCGACGGCTTGGCATTAAAAGGCGTGGCCGTTGGACAAAGCCCGTCGGAGGTGCTTGGTGACTTGTGTGGGCGTAGTTACCCCGACGGGTATCATACAGTCCACAGTAGCGCGCCATTTAGTTGCACTCGTGGCATAGAAGGCTGCTTCACAGTTGGCCGCGGACCATCGTGTACTCTCCGTAGAATCCTGGAACGAGGGTGCTGAATACGTGGGTTCGTTCGGGCACCATAAAAGAACTCCCCGCTTCCACGTTTACGTAAGCGTAAGTTGATTGTCAACCCAGCAAGTTGATGTGTTTTGTTTTTGTTTTTTTGTTTTTCTCCCATTATTGGACTCTGTCGTCTACCCCTCTGGCCCCTATCCTCCACTTCTTCCAGGTAGACGACCCAACCGGGGTCACATAGGAGGGGGGGGTTGGACCCCCTCCTGCGGTTCATGCCTGAGGTATTTTTATCGTGAGAAGGGTACAGCAATCCGTTCCCTCGCGACTTACGAAGTCGATTATGGTTTACTAACAAACGAGCTTTGCAGCGCGTCGCTTTCATCCTAGACCAGGATTTACTCAGTGAGAAAAAAACTTTCTCTGCCGGGGCTCGAACCCATGACCTGGCTATTGGCAGGCTGCGAGGCTACCCACTGCACCACCGGGGCGACCGATGTGTGTGTGTGTGTGTGTGTGGTTTCAACAACATATTCGCCTGATTGAGAGCGAAGTATCTGATTGAGAGCGAGAGCCAAAAAAATTGAAATTTCGGGTCCAGACGCCTCTTGCCATTTCTTGGCAAGTAGGGGACGGGCTATTCCAAGAAGCGGTGCAAATTGAAGGTCTCATCAGCAGCTTCGCGAGCATATGCGTGTCATCGTCATCGGATGCTGCAGNACTACATTTTTCAGCGTATGTAGAGTGCTACACTTTTCAGTGTATTTTTTCGTACAACTACAACCATCCAGGGTCACACAGGAGGGGGTAAACACAGAGTTTTTTTTTTCTTTTCATGCTCCTGTTCAGGAGGACCCGATTCGCAGGGTATCCGTCGATTGACTTTTACCTGAAACGGTACATCTTCGCATATTTGCAAATACTATCCACCCACAAAATTTACCCTCAACTGGGAACTTCTTGTGGACAGGATGGGTAATTCGAGGGAAGTGTCACAAGGTTTTTTGTAAGATCGACTCCAAGAGGTGTTCTCAGGACTGACACACATTGTGTCTCTGAGAAAATATCCAAGTCAGGAGGAAAAGTGTGCACCCAAAGAGATTCGAACCAGTATCCAGCCGATGCCATATGCGACGGTGTACCGACTCAGGTAAAAGTCAGTCGACAGATACCCTGCGAATCGGGTCCTCCTTAACACCCCACCTTCCTCCTGCGGTGCGTGCTCGTTTTTTTTTTTTATCCCGAGAAGGGTCCAGCGTCCCTTTCCCTCGTCAACGGTGCTAACGTCGAAGTTTGGTACTCACGAGAGCTTTTTTTAGCTATATTTCGCTTTCACCCGCAAATTTCGTAAATTTTTCACCCCACTGGGATTCGAACTCACGACCTCTGCGACTAGCGGATTACGAGGATACCACTTTTTAGACCACCGGGGCGACCGGTATGGGATGGCTCCTCTTGACAACGACGAAAGGCATGGACGGCCCTTAGCTCACACATCACGTTCCTGATGGCGGTTTCGTCTGCCTCCCCAATCCAACGCGGATCTTCGCCCGCAGTACGACCCAACCGTGCAAGATTTCGACTACTCAGGCATCGAGGATGGTCAACTGTTTCGAACAACCGGAGCCACCCTTGAAGCGGTGTCCACCCCGGGACACACCGTCGATCACGTCGCGTTTGTTCTTCGCGAAGAAAAGGTTAGCACTTTTGTGATTCGTCAATGGTGTGCGAATGTGTAACCAACAAGACAAAAGTTCTCGTGGATGAAAACAAGCTGTACAGCACTCGGGGGTGAAAAAAGCTTTCGTTCGTGGCGCTTGGGTTGGTGTGGTGAAGCGGAAATACCCGTCTTTCAGACCCCATGAAAGTCGATCACAGCCAGTGTTAACCGTTGTGCCTGTCTCCGTACGCTCGAGAGCCCCGGCCCTGAGTCTCTGTCGTGAGTTTGAGACCCGTACTGCGGCCGGCCTCCCTCTTGCTTGTACTTTGTGCGGACAGGGAAGCATGTTGGTGATCACCTAGTTGTGCTTTATCTCTTTTCCTTTCGACGAATACCGTGATTGTTCCACACAGGCCCTGTTTACCGGGGACATGATACTCGGGTGTGGTACGGCTATTTTCGACGACTTCGCCTCTTACATGGATTCGCTGCGGCGAGTCCGCGACATGAGCCCGAAATACGAAGGAGGCTTCACCAGGTTCGTCATGGCCGTACGGCATGCCCGTTTCGTGCCGTGAGGCTGTTTATTCGCTTGGCCACTGTTCCCTCGGCTAGCGCGAAAGATCCCTTGGTTACTCGGTTCACGATACTAATCATGAATAAACCCTCCTTCAGCTTGTTGGAGTCGGCCTAGACGTACGCGGAGTACAGACAGGGGCATAATTATGATGTCAATACCTTGGTGATGGTTGTCGGCTGGATGCTGGCGATGCGGCGCATATAGACCCAGGCGAACGTTGCCTGGAGGGTAGGTTGGAGTTGACACGTGGTGTAAGCCACATGGTACTGTAGTCACAATTCAGTTTACAGTCGGCGCCAGCACTTTACGAACATTGGAGGTAAGAATTTCAGCCTGAAGTTAGAAAATGATGGGTCTCGACCATAAGAACGGTGCTCAGTTTTGAATCCTACTGTAGAACCTAGGTAGTATGTGCTGGTTTACGCCACAGTGAGACTACATAAGCGGCGAGCCTCGCGCTGAATAACTGGTTTTCACGGGGCGGCACGTACTCTGTATGTGATGAATAAACAGTTTTTGTTCCCAACCCGAAGGTGTACTTTTAACGTGTGTCGAACAACCCGTTTCTTTCCTTACCCATTCACATACCGCGTCTCAGGCTATACTGTGGGCATGGTCCCGTAGTGGAAGCTGCACAAGAGAAGATAGAGTACTACATCAAACACAGACAAGAAAGAGAAGCCCAGATCATGAATGCCTTAACCGCAGCAAAAGGGCGGACTCTCAGCGCTTTCCAGGTGAGACAGGAGGGATATTCGACGCATCTGCACGTCATGGGCACCGCATGATGACTGTTGGTTGTTAGCACTTTTGCGCATTTCGTCATTACCACAACGAAGTGAGGATATCCAGGAGGTCTGGAGGATCCAGAAGGCTTCCTACGGCGCTAGGTTTCTCTTCAAGTGAGTTCAGAACCTCCCTCGGTCTCTATAAACCCTATGCTATGACATGGCGCACTCCTGTATCATAGCAAGTGTGTGTAGTCTCACAGCGAGTGCGTTCTTCGTTTTGCCCCCCACTCCGCCCAGATTACCGTTCGGGTGTACGGCGTTCTGCCGCTCCCGATCTTTGTCTCGGCGCACTACAACGTTTTGCACCACCTGTCGAAGCTCACAAGGGAAGGGAGAGCAGTTCTGGGCTGGGTGCCGTGCTCATTTTACCTTGGACCCGAGCGCGGGCTAAACGTCGGATGCACAGATTGAGCACCAACAACAGCAGTTGCAAGGGTGCCCGTCCGGGAGCGTCCCTATGCTCTCTTCATGGCCGGTGCTGGAGAGGAACGCGCCCCGCTGGTGGCTTCCCCATTGCCTTGTGCACATCTTTGTTGGTCGCATTCACAGTCGTTGGTGGCTGCCTTCCCCCGATAGCTCCACTGACTGACATGCGCGCAAGATCTCTCCCGTGATTTCCATGAAGAGCTTCGACAGATATCGCGCGCCGCTCGAGGGCAAGAGGGAGCCCGTCTAACTCATCACAAGAAACCCGAGCATTGGCGAAACTGGCGTCATTTCTGGATACGAGAGCGGTTTGGTAACGGTTCGCGGGGTGCTTGGCACACTGACAAGAAACGTTTTTTAGGCAGCATAAGCATGTGAAGCCGCTGCCGCCCCGAAAGCAACCATTGATGCTTGCATCAAAGGAGGCTGGTGTGGGGACGACTCATGCTTTGGTGCACAACGAGTAAATCAAAAATCCACTTCAATAGAGTCCGGGGCTTTTACTTCTCTCAGCTACGAGATGAATTTGCGGCATGAGCAAGGGTACACGTGTATAAAAATTCAAGGCAAATATACCTACTTGTTGAAAAGCGGGGTTATTTGGGGGGTGTACTCAATACTCGTAGTCGTGCATGCCGTAGTCGTTAGACCATTGACCTCGCATCCCTACAAAGCCGGGACGGAGCACGCCGGGTTCTCACCGAACCAGGTTCTCACATCACCAAGCGCGAAGCGCCATGAGGTATTCGATGAGTCGCATGAAGGGTGCGCTGCATCCTGCTAAGGGTGTTCGGCACCTTGTGCTTACTTCCTTGCGTACGGATGACAGCTGCGTATGACCTAATTTATGTTCTGGTGCTTTCACTTCCTGAAACAGTTATAAGCATTGTGATTGTGCAACNCGCCGGGTTCTCACCGAACCAGGTTCTCACATCACCAAGCGCGAAGCGCCATGAGGTATTCGATGAGTCGCATGAAGGGTGCGCTGCATCCTGCTAAGGGTGTTCGGCACCTTGTGCTTACTTCCTTGCGTACGGATGACAGCTGCGTATGACCTAATTTATGTTCTGGTGCTTTCACTTCCTGAAACAGTTATAAGCATTGTGATTGTGCAACTGCCTCGAGGGTGCTTGACCATTTTCACACAACGTAGTGCGATCATCCCCCTTGCGCGGAGTGAACGTTATCCACCCCGCACAACATGATCTACTCGACCACCATTAGTCTATGGATACCGCCAGAAAAAAAAATAGAGGTCTAAGGAAAAAAAACGGTAAAACCTGGTTGCCGAGTTCACGAAGTGAAGTGGCTTGTTTTACAACGACTTTGCCAAGCGACGAAAACCCAACTCCGATGGCAAAAAAAAAAAAGGGAGGGGGGGAACATAACCCATGTAACCCAGGGTTTCCGCCTAGGCGTCGGCGCTTTGGCGTCCCGCTCTCTGTCACGGTGTGCATCACCGCTGGCGCTGCTGGCGCTGTGTGGCTGTAGAGATCGCCGAAAGATGGCAGACACCCTGAATACTACAGGGTCGTATTTGCAATCTTCTCACGCATACCCCCATGGGAATCGAGGAGCAGCCGCTAGCTCGCCTGTCGCCCGTGTGGCCGATTGGTCAGAGCAACATGCATGGCGATGTCGCACGTGCAAGCACATGTTATTCGGCAAACGCAAGAAGCAACTGGCCCTGAGAAAACGTAGCGAGACACCGCGAGAACTAACGTAACCCTACGAGACCGAGACTACGGATAGATTTGCGAGATTATATGTGTTCCCTGTTGTGCAGTGCTAGAAGCGGCAAGGGCAAGTTTGCCTGGCAGAAGGTTCAATAGATGGTTGGCAACAATCGTGAAACCTGGTCAAGCTGAGGGCTGTTTGGCTCATTTCGAGCTTTGTCGATATTCTACTACTGCTGTACTAGATGAAATGAGGCGCTAACGCAAGAAAGGCTGCTTGTTTCCGTGTGTTCCTGTGGTAGCACGGCTAGGTGAGCGTGGCCCGGTATCGATGACGAGCAGATTCAACACGGGTTGCGAGAGCGAGGCATATGTGTCATCCATCCAACTTCATCGTGGTAACTTCCCGACGATTCATGGTGACTTGTCGAATTTCTTCCCACTCCGGAGCGGGGGAGAGGCCTACTTTTTTTTTTTTCGTTCCTTGTCTGGCGCCGCCTGCTCACTCCGCTTCGGCGCATCCTCCACATTTGCTGCGGATGTGCATTTCTCAGCGTACTTGGTACACTGCGACTACCTAGACGCACCGTCCCGGGGTCACATAGGGGAGAGTACCCACGCCGAGGTTTTTTCTTCTTTTTATCCTCTTTTGTCCACACTTACCTGCTGCGGAATAAAATTTGCGACATGGACACCAGCACTGCTGTACACATTTAGTCTGCTTGTACGGCAAGGCCACCATCACCGACCAGGACAGTGTGTAGACTAAATAGAGAGGCAGAGAGAGGAGAGCGCCGCTGTTGAGACATAACACTACCATAGCATGCGCGCAGTAAAGCAACAGCAGTAGCAACCGGTGCTTGACTGTTTGGCATCATGCGTTGTCACCTTTGTGTAAAAAATACCCAACAACCAAACATTGAAAAATAGATCAACGTCCTTCTCCCAAGAGAGGTTGTAGTCTGAAGATGAAGATTTGGGCGCGTCATGACCGGTATCATACTAACTTGCAGCGATGTTTATACCGCGAGAAGGGTACAGCGATCCCTTCACCCGCGACGGTTACGGAGATGTCGACAATGACGTCTATTAATTTACTAACTACCAACTTAGGCTGTTTCTTACAGAACCGGATTCTTGATCTGAAAAATCGATTTTTT